CCAAGACCCTGTTATCACCACCGCGATCCATCTCGCGTCTGTCGCCGGGAAATGTTTGATGGCGGTCGAAATGATATGCTTACAAGTGACATGATTTTTAGTGAGGGTCCGGAAGGTGAGGGGGGAGGAGGGGGAGGAGGAGGGAGGACGGGGGAGGAGGGGGGAGGAGGAAAAGGAGGAGGAGGAAGAGGTGGGAAGGAGGAAGTGGAGGAGGAGGAGGAGGAGGAGGAGGAGGGAGAGAGGGAGGGCAGGAGGAAAAGGAGGAGGAAGAGACGGAGGTGAAGAAGAAACGGGGCGGGGCAATAAACACAATACATTCAAGAAACGCACGTGTTTTTCTCCAAATATATTTTCGACGACGGAACAGAAAGGCCGATCACGTTCATTTTTGGTCAAATCGCTACAATAAATAAAATACAATACTTAACGAGACTCCCCGCCAAAAGAGCCACTAAATGAACTAACTCACACAGGAAATAATTACAGAATAATAAGAATAACTAAGAAAAGGACGAAAAAACGTTATCAAAGATTTCGGGAAATAATCTTGCCTGTATTACTGATTTCTCTGAACGATACTTACTGTTGCTTTGAAATCTCTTATCTGTCTTTACAATTCCTGTTTCTTTCGTGCTTAGCTCTCTATCAGTCTGTCTGTCTGTCTGTCTGTCTGTCTGTCTGTCTCTGTCTCTGTCTCTCTTTCTCATTTTAATCACTCGTCTCCTTCTCTCTTCCTCCTTCCTCCCCTATCTCTCTCTTCCTATCCTCCGCCCCCTAATTCTAGGTCAACGGAGACGCATTTCTCAAACAAACTAAACAGGCTCTTTACCCACTACCTCCCCTACCTCCATCCCTCCTCCCTCCTCCCCCCTCTCACCATCCCCACCTCCTACGCACTCTCCTCCTCCCCCACCCCACCTCTCCCTCTCCCTCCCCCCTCCCCCCACCTCTCCCTCTTCCTCCCCCTCCCCCCACCTCTCCCTCCCCCACCCTACCTCTCCCTCTCCCTTCCCCCTCTCCCCTCTCCCCACCTCTCCCTCCCTCTCCTTCCCCCTCCCCCCGGCACGGCAAACACGCTCCACATGCCGGCAAGGGACGCAAATAGGCCTACGAAACATGCAGGTACAAAGGGGCCTCGGCAGGACACGCTAAACGGTCCTTCTGGGAGAGCCTCCGGTCGCCTTGACCTCCTTTGCAGCGCCTATAAAACCCGCTGGGTGGCCCCCGGGCTGCATGGAGGGGCGGGGGGGATGGGGGGAGAAGGGGGAGGGGTTGGTGGGTGCATGGAGGGGGCACAAGGTAGGGGGAGGGGGGAGGGGTTGGTGGATGCATGGAGGGGCAGGGGGGGAGAAGGGGGGAGGGGTTAGTGGGTGTATGGGGGGGCACACGAGGTAGGGGGAAGGGGGAGGTGTTGGAGGGTGCGTGGAAGGGTAGAGGGAAGTAGGGGAGGGGGACCTGAAGGGGCATGGAGGGAAAAGGGAGGGAAGGTAGAGATGTAGATGGTGAGGGAACGAGGGAAGGAATGGGAGGGAAGAGGAGGGAACAGAAGGCGTTGGAGGGAAAGAGAACGGAGGGAGGGAGCGAGGGAGGGAAGGCAGAGGGCATGGGAGAGGAAGGGGAGAGGGAGAGGTGATGGAAGAGGAAGAAGAGGAGCAAGCAAGAAAGAGGGAAGGAAGGAAATAGAAGGGAGACTGAAGTTTAATATCACGTTCACATATACCAGCAAGAAGAAAATAACAACAAAAACAAAAACAAGAATAACAAAAACAGAATACCATAAAGACCCATACACCCCCTCCCCCTCCTCCCCCACCTCCAATCGTCCAGCGCCGGGGACTATCGTTCCATTATTGTCCCCAAGAAGAGCTCCCCCACCCCCTCCACTCTCTGTACCCCCTCCCACGAACTCGCCCCTGTAATCCCCCCTCCCCCCCATCAGACAGGACCGGAGGGAAGCCAGACTTTTGTTCCAGACGAGAATGGAAGGAGGGGGGAGGGGGGAGGAGGAGGAGGAGGAGGAGGAGGAGGAGGAGGAGAGGGGAGGGTTGGGGGGCGGGGGGGTTACGAGAGGGCATTCGGTTACGTGAACTCGGGCGACAAAACAAGAGAGAGCGAGAGACACGCACACGGACACACACACGTACACACAAACGTACACAAACACACACAGACACATACTTGAAAGCCAAGAAAAAAGGAAGAAAGGAAACGCTACATTCCACATAACAGCACAGTCCAGGTGGAAAGGAGGGAGGGGAGGGGGAGGGGGGTGACGGAGATGCAGGCGTGGGAAAGAGATAGGGAAAGATAGACAGATAAACGGGCAGATAGACAGATGGATGAATGCATGAATACACAGGATGAGTCACTGAGACAGACGGGGAGAATGTGACTGAGACGACTGAGAGAAAAGAAGAGAAAAGAAGAGAGAGAGAGAGAGAGAGAGAGAGAGAGAGAGAGAGAGAGAGAGAGAGAGAGGGCACAGAAAGAGAAAGAGAGA